TGAGTTGTGCTCCGGAAACGAAACCAATTCCTCCTTTTTGAGACTAAGTTCAAATCGTTTCCATGGAAACCAAGGAAAATAAAAAATGCCAAAATCTGTAAACAGCAAAAGGCAACACTTTAGGTTCTGTTTGATATATCTACCAAGTTTTGTGGAAAAATATTGAACGGTTTTTGAGTCATGCTCCGGAAACAAATTGATTATGGACGGATGGACAAGAGGGACGAGGCGTCGACTATCCCCCCGCATTACATGCCGGGGGGATAAAAAGTAACTGAATTTAAAAAAGTAATATAAAAGAAGGTTTCCTAACCATGAAATGAATCCACATGGGCATATTTAACTAAATATCAAACCCAAATGGAAAGAAACCAGAGAACACGTGAGAGGAAGTAAAATTAAACACAGAACAAAATGGCACGAAGATGGAGAAAAAACAACAATTAGCTAGTTTTGTCATTTTGACAACAAATAAATTTATAGACAAATGAGTAAATCATATTTTTGTTATAATTACTAATGTAAGAGAGATCATGTACAAACAAAAGACAATGAGAAAACTTTCAAAAGGCTTTAGACTGAAAAAGAGCACTCTCACCTTACACTTAGTTAGAAAAACCAATAAATAGAAACGAATTTTTATGGCATGCTGTTAGATATATGAAAAACAATAAAGACCTCATGAAGTTCCGCTTTTCCAACTACATTTTAAAATTATTTTTGTAGGATTTAGAGGTTGGGGATTCTAGATATATGAATAATACTTATCAATAAATAACTATTATTTACATGGTTGTAACTGCATGCATTCAAAGGAAAAGGATCGAACACTAAATAAGAAATGGCTCCCTATTTCTTTAATAAACACGGGAGCACCGGAAAATATAATCAAAATACAACACTTATTAAGAACAGAATGGGTTTATTCAGATTGTTACTGGATTTATTCCATTTTCCATTTAACAAACAACTCTTAATTGATTTAAAAAAGGAAGTTTATTATCATTTATACATACTGTTTAATAAACAGCTTCGTCCATACATGGTAACTTGGATAAATATGTTAATAATGTATTATTATACATAATAAGAATAGTGGACATCTCTCATCTTTTACAAACATAATTCCAGATTTTTGAAAGACAAGGCAATCGGGTGTTGCCCTACAGTTTGAGTCTGATGGTGAGACCTCGGGATAACAACCTTTCTTGGTACCTCTTGATTGAAGTAAACCTGGATTTTGTTTGTTCCATTTTAATACTGCACTCAGCAAAATTCCAGCTGTATGGCGGCAAACTTTAGAACATCAATTTGCGAAATCTGGACAAGCAAATTCAGTGACTGATATATTATGACAGTATTTTTGTTTGTTTTGCTTGTTTGTTCTTTAAACGTACTCAAAATACTGTAAATAATCAAATCTGGACCAGATAATTTAGTGATCAACAACACGAGCATCGATAACGTAATTGGGATACTATGCCATGTGTCAACCAAGTCAGCGAGCCGATCGGGTTAGTCGCGTCACCCATGATCTCTGCCTAATATCTCAAATACGAAATAAGTGAATAGCAAACATTAGTCTTCTAACAGTCCCTGAGCATGTACAGTGTGAATGAAGCCCCCTAAGATTTATATACAAAGTGACCCCCTTTGCATGTCATGTAAAAAATCAATTATACCCCCTCCCCCCTATTTTTAAGCGTAATTTTTAAAATATTGTTATGTACAAACTTGCTGCGGAAGTAATTACACAGCTGTAGATGCATGCCGGAAAAATTATAAATTACTACCGATCACATGACTCAAAAAATATACAGTGGCTTCTTTGAAAGGCATTTTAGAAGTTGTAAAGATGAAGGAAAACCAAGTTCTATGGATAGTCAACTTCTTTATTGCCCTTCATAATATACAGTGAACTGCTGTAAAAGAAAATTAAACACTGAATAGTTGTAGTATAAGAAAATGCACTGTTGATAATACCAGTAGGTTACAGAAATATAATGAAGGTATCATACAAAACTAAATATTGCCATCAAGTATTTATAACCGTGACAGTGTCATCAGAATGCAGGGGCGTAGCTACCATAATTAAACAAACGTGGGCTTACACATGATTTTTACTAAAAAGGATGGACAAGCCCTTAATACTATCTAAATATACTGAACAAACAGAATGTTTCTGCAAATGATACCCACTCATTCGTTCAAACATATATTTTAGCGATTGTGTCAGACTGAAAAAACAGTGCAGATAAAAACTTCAAAGTTGAAATATTCATTCTAATCTCTTTAAATGCATCAGTAGTAGCAACGAAATAATAGTAAAGTCACTTGTGAAATATCACATACGCACAATTTATCCTTTAGAAATAGACAGTGAATTCTAGGACCCGACACGCCCACTCTATAATTCATCATTATTTCATATATCACTTCTGTTTCTATTTGTGTCAACTATCGATGTGCAACAATGCATACAAGTTACATGATTCAATAATGATAATCGTGGTTGGCTATTCACAAAATAGATTTTATGTCGAGTACAGAATTCTTTAGTTCCCTTCATGATCTACTTCATACGGATTCACTGATGAATATTGTTATTGGGTCAGAATCCCGAACAGCTAATTTGTCTGTCAACAGCAAAACCAATGACAGGTAAGTTTGGCTCTACCAAAAGGTTTATCATTAGGATTATTCCTAGGAGGCTACATGCGGCTCTTATTCCCACCATGTGTCCTCGGTGTTTCAAAGTTAACAAATTATACAAATATTAAATATTTTGCAATATGTTATACACCATGTGTTCATTAACAGTGAACAATTAATTATACGTATTTCTTGCTGCACTTAGAACTTACCTTGCCGTTTTCCTGAACGTTTCCTCCAAGCAAAAACATGTTGAAAAATATTTCTTCTTTGATAGTCTTCACAATGCAAAACATAAACGAAGAGTCAAAACGCATAAAACCCCGCGAGAAATATAAGCGCATGTTAAACTGAATTCCAGACAGCTTGTCGGGATTATTTTGAAATGTACCTTGTCTTTGATAAATTTCGTCTCGTCTGCTTCAGCCTCATCGCCTGAATTATCCGCATGGAAAGTTCGTGCATTGGAAGTGTGTGCTGATTGGTTAAACTCGTAACCATGACAGCACGTGACAATTCCAGCGAACATCTGCGTGAAATATACAACGGTTTTGTCTTTATTTGACAATTGTTATCTTAAGAGACGAAGCCTTGGCGGGTGTGCATTTCTTGGAGGTTAAGGGGATGCACCTTGATTTAGGGTCCTTTATCTGTTTATTTGTTATGTCCCTTTAAGTCCCTGCTAGTCTAGAATATGTGGCACGTTAGATTAAAATAGTTTCAGGTTATGAAAATGAAACAATTCTCGATGTGGGCTCATTTTTATTATAGTTTATGTATATAATTTAGGAACCGTATTTTCTGTAAACTATGAACATGTTCGTTTCAGAGACAAGATGTTAGTCTAGCTCTCAGTCCAATTGACCCCTCATCACACCCTTATCGTATTATTACATAAATGATATTTCTGCAGAGCAATCCAGGTTAGGGTGTACAGGGAGTAGTTATTTCATTTCCACAATTTCCCCATTTACATTTTGATAACCTTATTACATGAGGCGAATCTATGAGTCGATGACGTCATAATGGTTTACAGTTATGACGTCACAATGCTAATACCTCTGTCACAATGGTATTAGCCTGTGCTTGACTCGCGGGAAGCTGAGAGCCATCACCCTGCTGGCAGTTTCTATCAATTTGTGTTGGAGAGTAATAAACAGAATACTAAATTCGCTTCCATGAAATACCATTTTTATAAAACTCGTGACAGATTTAATATCAAACTCGCTTTCACTCGTTTGCTACCAAAACAATAACTCATTTAGTAAAATGGTATTTCGCAGAAGGTCCTTTGTAATCCTCTGCTTATCACACACTGTCATTCTGCCTGTGGCTGTGGCTGTGGATGATGTGGCTGACCTTATTCCATTACCAAGTTGAAAGGCGAAGTTCGGCCGTGTACAATAGTTAAATTACATTGTAAACCAAAGGTCACTGTGTTCTTTAATCTGATTGGTTGAAAACCGGGATCAAATGGTATTCGATTCCCGGAAATTCGCTGCGTATTAATACATACAAACATCGCTCACACCATTGTATTGTTACGTCGTCAGCTGAGATGACGTCATTCAAATCATATTGTGACGTAAAGTCCGAATGACGTCAAAAATGAACAGTTCCAGATGCTACCATGGGAGACAGCCGAAACGACCGTCTGATGACATTTCACTGCTGTACCGGTACTCGATGTCAATGAGTGCAGACACAAAAGCGTGTGTGGACCTTCTAGTTTACTTTTGTGTTTACAATGTCGATAAACATCATGTGTTGGCCAATTTCTGGGTCTCGGCTCAAAATCTCAAAATTAGGTTGAATTGTCAGTGAGTCTATTTAGGAGATAACCCTAGTGTGTTTGAAAATCAGAGACATGTTTTACTGAATTGATGGCGATTAAATTTCAATTGGAACCGAACGCGTTGAATAGTCAGTGAGTCTATTGTCTTTTAACAATTCATACTATTACAGTATGCCGTTTTGTCATTGAATAACGAAGGAAAATATTTGTTGTGAATGAAAATCTGTGTAGATATTAAGTTAAACTATATACATAATCACAAAAACTTCATATATGTTCTTTACCCAATATACCGGTTCTCAGAACAAATATTGCAATACGCATCGTTTGAAGAGCGTATTGCGATATACCGGTATATCGGTAATACCGTGCAGTCCTAATATTTACTATGGCCCTACTCAACCTTTGAGTTCAACCTATCAGCTGGTGGTATTGATACTGAAAGTAGGCTATATACTGGATCCAACTATAAGAAAAAAATAGTCTCGTTTCAGCTCTTGTACCAGCAACGTATTAATAGTGTGAGTGTGTGTGAGAGAGAATTAATCGATATCAGCTTCTCGGCGCGTTGTCCTTTCAAAAAGAATAACAATATCGAATAGAGACTGGCCTGCAGTCTAGTGCAGCGGCAGGCTAGAGCGGCCTTGACACTGGGTAGAACATTTGCAGCCATGGCAGAAGCGAAAGGTAGGTGTTTCGCAGTAGCTGATGAATAGGTTTTATAACGTCAGTAAGTGACAGTGCGCGTAGCAGATGGCTAGGCATGGACGGGTGTTGCATGCACTATGCTGAAAGTGAAAGTTTCCATCTGTGAATTTACAAATAGTTTTTCAACGAGGGTCGATTTATGGATCAATGTTACAAAAACGAACTCGACTCGTTGACGCCTCAGGCATTCTCTAAGGGGAGGTAAGTCCATTAATTTACTTTTTTAAATGGATTTGTTGTGGGCCTTTGTGATGAAAAAAAAGACATCATAAGTTAGTCCGACGGTAGGCAAGGGTTAGTTTACAGCGACACGGACCGCTGTCGCTGTCTCACTATACCGCTATTGCTGCCTCGTTATATCGTTACTGGTGAACCAGAGGTCAATCTAGACTTGCTGTAGGATTACTGAAAGGTCATGGCGGATGGGAAAGTAATAGACATTTTGAGACAATGCCCCGGCTTGGAATCCGGATAATTCTCATCCCAGTGGTAGAATCTGTACTTTACTGCAGAAAATGTAATCCCAAATATAACATACTGTATTTCCTCAAATAAGTGCCAGATATCTAACAAGTGCCAGACCTCTAATAAAGCAGCTGACTAACAATCATGGTAATTACACCCAGTAAGGGTCAAAAGCGCCGGGCCACGAATTAGTGTCTAATCTGGAAGTCCGCTGAAAAAATAAGTTCCTGGCGCTTATTAGAGGAAATACAGTATGGTACATTTGACCACTTTTCATAGGTCACTGTGCCTTCACCCCTTTTCAATCCAAAGGGAGATGACATGCCTTGAATATCAACCACACCTTTTCGATCTTTAGATTAGAGCTGGTTAGGGCTAGGGTTAGCAATAAAGATTTTAGCACATATGCCTAATAATCCATTTATAGTAATTCTTTATTCCATTTTAACATGCAATACATGTGACAATAACGCATAGCTCATTCAATTGGCTGCTTCACTCGGAGGGCATGATGTATTAAACATGCATAAACAATTGTTTTTTTGCTATATTCCACTTCCTTGTTAACGAGGTAATAAGGAGCCCACCTCACAGAAATGGGTTTCACGCATTGTACCCATGTGGGGAATCAAACCCAGGTCTTCGGTGTGACGAGCTGACGCTTTAACCATTAGGCTACCCACCACCCCTACACATGTGAAGGTACTTCAGGTCCAGTGGTAGAGCATCAGCTGTGTCCCTAATCAGCCAGTGCTGTACATAAATTTCTGGTCGGTATTGCTGGAATATTGCTGCCTTCCACTCACTCTCACTCACTTCTGGTCCAGCGGTAGAGCATCAGCTAACTGTGTCCCTAATCAGCCAGTGCTGTACATAAAGTCGGTGAAGTGCCTTCCAGCTTATGTTAGGGCGGTGGGGTAGCCTTGTGGTTAAGGCGTTCGCTCGTCACGCCAAAGACCCGGGTTCGATTCCCCACATGGGTACAATGTGTGAGGTCCATTTCTGGTGTCCCCCGCCGTGCTGGAGTCCCCCGCCGTGATATTGCTAAAAGTGGCGTAAAACTAAACTCATTCACACTCATCAGCTTATGTTAACAGGCACATTCTGGTAAAAATGCTGCAGATAGGTTACATTTGATAAAAAACTAAGACACATTTCAAACAAATGTTTGAGATGTTTGTATGTATGCCATTTTTCTTGCACAATCTATTTAGGTCAACATGTTGCAGAAATTAACAGAAATATAAATCTAACACACAGGAAAGAGTAATTAGTCTACCGTTAGACCTTGAACCATATCTTTCCTTCTGACAAGCCTTTTCTGTAATGGGGCGCTGAAAGCCTTGTGGTTAAGCACATTGTCACGCACCAAGATACAATGTGTGAAGCCCATTTCTGGTGTCCCCCTATCGTGATATTGCTGGAATATTCTCACTCACTCACTCTTCTGTAATGCAAAAGCTCAAAATGGAGCAAGCCTAGATTCCTGTTCTAGTTCTCTTGGATATCCCTTCTCACTGAGGCATCTGTTCAGTTCATATGGAACAATTTGTTTCTGTCAAAATAATTAATATTCAAGGACATAGCATGCATTTGCTGCAGAATAATTGGTAGTCCTTTTTAATTTAAAAGGAATTATTTGTTTCTATTAAAATTATATGTATTCATAGACTAAGTCATTCTCTTCCCACAGAGGTTACTCCTGTCATATCTTCCTACATAACCTCTGTTCTAATACGGCCATATTTCCCGGTCCTCGTAAAATCCCCTAGCGGCAAAAGATCGCAACACGAATTATCTCCCTTCTTTCTATCCAATCAGAACACGTGTTACATCGACTTAGATTCAATTTGACTAACACAAGCAAATGCGGGGCCACAAATATCCCCCATCTGCCGGGGAATTGTGTTGATGTTACACCTACAAGACGCTTTAATGGCTAGCTTGTCCGCTGTCAACGAGGGATGCATGGAGATGCTTCACATGATACGCCATTACATGACTGAGTTCTGTCTAGAAGAAACGCTATAAAGAATCGCCGGGGAAGAGGTTCATTAGTTTTCCGGAAGCTACATGGAAATTCACCGAGGCCTTGGCGAAGATCACTTTTGAAACAACGCCGATTGCAATAACTTTTGATCGCTTGTCTCCAATCACGAGCCTTGAACGCTGACACCAAGAAAGGGTCGTATTAGAACAGAGGTTATGTAGGAAGATATGACAGGAGTAACCTCTGTGGGAAGAGAATGAGACTAAGTCTTCAGACTTGAGAATCTTGTCTTGTTTAGGCACTTAAGCCATTTTGACGACCAAAATCGATGAATTTCAACAAACAGGCTGGTCATATTTATGCTGGTCTGTTTTGACATTTATCTGATCTATTCATACAAGTTTGTCCACCATGATTAGCTGGTCCCTAAGCACACATCAGGTAGGCCTATCTTGGGTTACACTACGATAAGTCATTCTTCCAAGGAACATCAGTTTGTTTCGTCTGGGGCACATCACTTGAATTCACTAGACTTTAACACTGGTGTTAAATGCCATTGAAGCAATAATGGGTATTGTTAAATAAATAAGTGGTAGAGCACAATAGGTCAAAGATCAAAGGACAGATCTTCAGTGCTATTGCTATATACCATTACAGTTATATAAAACCCTGTGAAGCAACCTCTTAGTACTATCACAATACTGACATTCTGTCATATTCCAATTGCTCATGATGTTGATCACTGGATTGTCTGGTCCAGACCCATTTATTTACAGACCGCCGCCATATAGCTGGAATATTGCTGAGTGCGGCATAAAACTAAACTCACTCACTCACTACATTGATGTTTTGACTCAGTTTGGGTTCTCCTGGGTGTGTCTTCTGATGTCAAATTTGAAGTTTTTATTTTCAAAGTTTTTGATATTCATTAAGAAGAGGTTGGTGGGATAGCCTAGTGGTTATAGCGTGTCTCTCGTCACACCGAAGACCCGGGTTTGATTCCCCTCATGGGTACAATGTGTGAAGCCCATTTCTGGTACCCCCTGCCATGATATTGCTAGAGGCAGCATAAAACCTCACTCACTCACTCACTCACTCAAAGAATAGTGTATTTAAGAATTGACTTTCACTTTGTGTTCTTTGAAGTGTGAAGAGTGAGGTCCAAACTATATGAACATCGGAGCTTGCGTTCATAAAATGTTCGGCCCTCACTTAATGAAGGTTCATACTCCAATGAACTCGCACAATTTGAAAGTCACTTCTTGTGATTTTTTATATCAGGGTATAGAATACACTATACCCTGAGAATGCATTTAACAATTTCAAGTAGTTTTGGTGACTTTGTGTTTACACAGACAGCCATGCAGCAACCAACTGTAATGCTGAATAACACAGTTATTCAATTTTAATTGTGGGCGGATATGCTCAACTTGCTCAGTAGGAATACTGTTGTTGACAGGCAACATAAAGAATCAAATGATTGAGCAAGTGGTGAGTTAGTGAAAGTTGCTTAAAGCAGTTTTGCAGCTATTTGCGTCGAGATTCAAATACATGTTTGCATGAATAATGAAAAATGTATCTCAGTCTCACTGTAAGTTAGGAACGCACAGTATTACCGGTTTATTGCAACAAGCCTTTCAAACGATACGTATTGCAATGTTTTTACTCAACTGGTATATTGGGTAATATAAATATATGAAGTCGTGATTATCTCTATGGTTTAAGCTAAATTCTACACAGACTTTCATTCACACTGAAACAGCAAACTTTACCCACCGAAACTTTTATAAAAAATATGACCAGAATATATCACAATATATTACAATACCATTTATTTGCCAATGCACCGACCTACTGTAAGTCAGTTGCAGTTAAAGCATGTCATAATACATCTACATCGAACACAGGATGTCAAAATGGCCGACGTGTCAGGAGATATTTTCCGAGGTAGGGCCTGTGGTAATTATAGGTGTTATTCATCATTGATCAGTTGGCCGATCATTGAAAGGTGACTATGGAGATGTGTCTAGAAGATCCTAAGGTAAATCTATTGATTCCTAGACACTGTCACTTGTCAGTTAAAGACACTGATCGAGTGGAGAGTGTCGATGTGCATTTTCTTTGTTATGAACATTCAGAACGAGGATATTCTTGAAAATCCATACAATGAAACTATCTGACTTTCAAATTTATGCTTAAATGTTAAGTTCAAGATTAAAGAACCTGTGAAGATCTGGGTTAGAATTGGTCTTCAGTAACCCATGCTTGTCATAAGAGGCGACTAACAGGATCGGGTGGTCAGGCTCGCTGACTTGGTTGACACAGTCGTGTCATCATATCCCAATTGCGTAGATTGATGCTAATGTTCCTAATCAGTGGATTGTCTGGTCCAGACATGATTATTTACAGACCGCCGCCATATAGCTGGAATGTTGCTGAGTGCAGCGTTATACAACAAACCAAATCAAGTTTAAGGGGTCTAAATGTTCAGATTTCATCTGTATTTGTTCATGTTTGGGAATTTCAAGGGGTTTGCGAAACACGTGTGTTGTTCATACTCTAGTGAACATGAGATTAATGGTATATGTTAAGGCCAGACCAATTTTATTTCTTGTTTTACGGATCTGCCTGTTGTATTTTTTCAAGAATAAGAAAAAAACTAAAAAGTAATTTTCCCCGCTCTCAAAATAAAATCCTAATGTGTTTTTGGGACAAAAGTGTATACTTAGAAGAAAAGTTTTTTAGATTTTTATTTGCCCTTATACACTTCATAAATTGCCAAAAGTAAAATACTTTGAGTATTTAGAAGGAATATTACTTTGACATGTGATTTTATTTTATTTATTTTTTCCCCTCCTGCCTTTAGGGTTCCTGAGGAAAAAAATCTGTAAAACAAGATATAAAATTGGCCACAATACAATATAAAAACTGGCTATATTAAGGTGAAGTAATACATCTTAGTATAATGCTGGTTGATTTGGGATGCAAAATATTGCATCATATACACCTAAAAATTAAGAATGGATCCTAAAAATTCAGTGTAGTTTTATTAATGGGGCCCTGAAGAGTAAAGTAAAGACCTGCCACTTCTAAAGTTAGTGAGTTCTGTTGGCAGACCAGAGTGATGAGTGAGGCATCCATGACTCCCAAGAGGCTAATACTATATATCAGGAATAATTCCAGACAAGCAGCCACGCCCATGTACATGATGTACTGGTATTGCAAGAGTGAGTGAGTGAGTGATTGAGTTTGCTTTTTACGCCGCATTCAGCAATATTTCAGCTATGGGGCGGGGGTCTGTATATAATCGAATCAGGACCAGACAATCCAGTGATCAACAGCATGAGCATCGATCTGCGCAAATGGGAACCGATGACATGTGTCAACCAAGTCAGCGAGCCTGACCACCCGATCCCGTTAGTCGCCTCTTATGACAAGCATTGGTTACTGAAGATCAATATTCTAACCCGAACCTTCACGGGTCTGTATTGCAAGAATTTTGATGGTGTGTGATGCGATAAGATGTTAAATGAATGAGTGAGTGAGTGAGTGTGGTTTTACTTTGCTTTTAGCAATATTCCAGCAATATCACGGTGGAGGACACCAGAAATGGGCTTCACACATTGTACCCATGTGGGAAGTAGAACTGGTTCTTCAGCACGATGAGCAGACTCTTTAACCACTAGGCTACCCCACTGCCTGATATGTAGACTAATAATAGGGTTCAGGGACTGTGTCAAAAGACAGGACTTTAACCATGTTAGCCTGGGTGAATTGGATGGGATGTTTCCCTGCTGCTCATCATCAGCTACAGCTGATAGACATTGACCGACATGGAGATATGTTACTTGTAGTCACCTGTCCCAAATTTATCCTGACTGTGAGAATTCTTCACCCTGGAGTAGCATCATACACAAATGGTAGAGATTCACCTACATTTTAACTCATCATTGCCTGAACCTGAGGTAATCTAGACTTGCTTTATTTAGGGCTTTAGCATTGCAGAGAGGGCTTGGCAGTAGGGAAATTAATGTGGTTCAGGGACTGTGAGACAGACTACCCGATATGATGTACAGTTTAACCTTTAAACAATCTCTCCTCACCCTAGCAACTGTGTGGACCCTGCAATGCTCATTTACTTGAAGCTATTGTTGTGACCTGGACTGACTGCTATAAATGTGACAAGTTGCCCTGTCTACCAGGGGTCACTCTCAGGAGGTCAGGCAAACAGTATAAACAGCTTTGGTAGTCAGAGATATAGATATACGATACTCTGTACATAGACCTCAGCCAGTGTGTATTTCAGAAAGTGGAAAAGTAGGGCCCAATAAAACCTCAGAATTTGGAATTTTGGCAAACATGTGTAAGTTTTAATTTGTCAGATTAAACTTAATATTGAATTTTAAAGTTCAAAATTATGAAAATAAACCAAAATATTTTGCTCTTTGGATAGTATGGGTCATCCTTTGTGTGAGGTGATGTATATTTTTTGTGCCATAAAGAAGCTTCCATGGTGTATTCTCATCTTAAAGATTGACACTGAGAAAGGCATCCTTGATTAGGGAGGGGTATTTCCGAAGATTTCCAAATGTTACGAAGTTTTCTGGATCCATGTCAAAATACCGGTTTTTGATCAGCGTATCGCAATACGTTTCGTTTTCATGTCTGGTTATATTGCGCAGCCCTATCCTTGATTATCAAGGAAAGAAAACTTTCTAAAAGTTTATAACGAAAGTGCATAATGAACTGACAGATATAACTAACTGTTTTTATCCTGGCCCCTTCCTGTATACTTTTGTTGGACTAAAATTCATGGACCCTTTGAGTGTGTATATTACATATCAGTTTTAGTTTGATAATTGCTGTAGAAACTTCAACATCATACCCTTATTTAGAGTCCACATTTGAATGACTTTATTGGGCAGTGGGGTAGCCCAGTGGTTAAAGCGTTCACTCATCACGCGCCAAAGACCAGGGTTCGATTCCCCACATGAGTACAATGTGTGAAGCCCATTTCTGGTGTTCCCCGCTGCGATATTGCTTGAATATTGATAAAAGTGGTGAAAAACCATACTTACTCACTCACTGTGTCATGACGTCATGACTTTCCAGTGTGATGTCATGCTTGTCTCGATAACCTGTGGTTTCAAACAGACATTTCAAGCATGAAATACACAATGACACCCACATATCTGAAAACTCTCAATGTTTGTCTCATAACTTTGGTAGCAAAGGTACTTTAGGTCCCCATGGTCCCTCAGATGGTGATCTACCTTCAGTTGTTGGCAATATATAACCTGTTTTTATATTGTATTGTCATCTATAATTAAACTGTTTTAGGTCTAATTACTAGTTTTAAAATAAATCTGTGATAATCTATTTATTTTACTGTCCTTTGTTGACAGGTTTTTACAGTTTACCATTAAGTACTATGTAAAAAATTAATTGTTCTCGTCACGATATGGCTGAAATATTGCCGATGTGACGATAAATTTTAACTCACTCACTCATAACTTTGCTTTTTTTCTCCTGGTCAGATCAACTCTACGATGCTCCAGTGATTTCATGTCCATCGGTGGAGGAGCTGACCAAGATATCAGAGGAACTGAGACTAAATTGCTCAGCAGAGGACCTTGAAACTATTCATGGTAAGTCGGGGTCCAGACAATTCCCCACACAGACATTTCCCCACACAGACATTTCCACACACAGACAATTCCCCACAGGACAATTCCCCATTCGGACAATTCCCCACACATTAAAAAGTGTAAATAACAATGAAAGTGATATTGACTTTTTTATTACATATTTATTCATTTCATCCTAAACCTGGTTGGGAAACTCTAAGTGAACATAGAAGAAAAAGAAAACTTTGCTTATTTAATAAGATTTTTCACAATATTGCACTGTCATACCTTCAGGAATTACTACCTACATGAGTAGGTGACATGATTGTCCTACACCTGGTAAGTCATAGCAGATAAAGGGTTGTTTTCTTCGGAGCATTTTTCCTGATCAGTGTTGATCACATTACTGTATACCGACAGTATGTACCTTGTAGACAGAAACCTCTCCAGGTGTGCTCTTTACTATATGTCCCTGTTCTGTTACTTGTTAGATTTTGAAGTAATGTTTCTGGAGCAGTGTAAAAAAATACCAATACAAATATCTCGAGTAGTTATGTTGTGGATAGACTCCTCTCCTAGTTTATTGGAGTAGCTCATCACGTCAAAGAACCGGGTTCTATTCCCTACTAGAGTACAATGTGTGAAGCCCATTTCTGGTGTCCCCTGCCGTGACATTGCTGGAATATTGCTAAAAGCGGTGTAAAACTAAACTCACTCACTCCAAGAATACTCATTGTCATGTGTTTCTGTCAGACATCGGGTGATCAGGCTGCGTGTTTCTGTCAGACATCGGGTGATCAGGCTCAGGAATGGTTGTCTGTCACGTCATCGTATCCCAATTGTGTAGATCGATGCTCCTGCTGTTGATCACTGCATTGTCTGGTCCAGACTTGATTATTTACAGACCGCCCCCATAACTTGAATATTGCTGAATGAGCTGTTAAACAACAAACTAAATAAACTAAATAAAATCAACAGAAGTTAGTTGTTTAATTCGACTTAGTTTCAATTCTCTTAAGTTACATTTGTTTGAGTCCTACATCTGCATTTTCCAGGACAGTTCAAGTCCACCGCAGCTGCCTTCCAGCGTATGTCCCATCTTGTGCAGCCTTCTCTTCCTGTCAAATACCCTCGCACCCCAGGGTACAGACCTGCGAAGGATGACAACCCTTTCAATGCCTGGTAAACATATTGTATCTGTTTCTGTCTGTCTTCCTCTCAGATTGATGTAACATTGATAGGGTATGTTATGTATGCAGGCCATGATACATTTGTACTCGTGTACATGAGATGCAGGATTGTATGTGCAGCTCTTCTATTGTTGTATCTCACCCAACTTAAAGTGAAGTGAGTTATGCTATGGTGTGTTTTCAGTCCATCTGTCCATCATTAACTTTTGCATGTTTTAAATCCCTGACATTTACAAATGCCAATAAGCTGAAACTGCGCACAAATAGTGGTGATCCCAATCATTAGCAGAGATGTTGGTTGACTCAATGTGCTCACAGACCCGTGAAGATACGGGTTAGAATATTGATCTGCAGTAACCCATGCTAGTCGTAAGAGGCGACTTACGGATGGTCAGGCTTGTTGACTCGGCTGACACATGTCATCGGTTCCCAATGGCGCAGATAGATGCTCATGCTGTTGATCACTGGATTGTCTGGTTCAGACTCGATTATTTACAGACCGCCACCAAACAGCAGGAATATTGCTGAGTGCGGCGTAAAACTAAACTCACTCACTCACTCACAATGTGCTCACATGACACCAGGTACTGGAAATGCGACATCAAGGGCGCCAAGAATGGCAAACTGGCAGGGAAAAAGGTCGGAATCAAGGACAACATTGCTGTGGCTGGTGTTCCAATGATGAATGGAAGCAGGATTCTGGAAGGATACACACCTGAATTTGATGCCACTGTCGTCACCAGGATTCTAGATGCAGGTAAAGAAAAATGACAAAAGCCATATGTAATGTCGAAAGGTTATTTTTTTGCTAAAACCAGAATTCTGTGAACAATTCTGGCTTCATTTGAGAATGTTTATGAATTGTTACCCAGTAATGATGATACCAAGTGCTTGAAACCCTTGAAGATCCGGGCATTATACAGATAAACAATTACAGGAAGAGTGAGTGAGTGAGTATGGTTTTATGCCTCTTTTAGCAATATTCCAGCAATATCCCAACGGGAGACACCAGAAATGGGCTTCACACATTGTACCCATGTGAGGAATTGAACCCGGGTCTTCAGTGAGCCGAGCGAACGCTTTAACCACTTGGCTACCTCACTGCCTCATGACATTAAGAATATTGCATTTGCTCACATGTGGGGGGACCACCTCCGTGGTGTAGTGGTTAGAGCGTCCGCCCGGAGAGCGGAAGGTCGCGGGTTCGATCCCCAACCGCGTCATACCAAAAGACATTAAAATATGGTACTTGTTGGTCCCTGCCTGGCGCTCGGCATTAATGGGTACAACAAGGACTGGTCGGCTCGGAGTCAGTATAATGTGTGTCTGAGTGGGGTATTCGATGCTTCACTGCGGCATGGTATCTCAGTGGGCTAGCACTATAAAACCAGCTTCTGTCTGGGCTAGTACAAGCAGCCGCACAACACATACACACGCATGCACGTCGTCATATGAGCGAAATATTCTCAAGCACGACGTTAAACCCAATTTCACCTCACCTCACATGTGGGGATAACTTTTCACAGCATTCAAAGACATTTCTTGTTTAACCCATTTGGCTATTGAGCACAAGATGTGCCATCACAACCCACAAGGAAGAAGAGTACAGTATAAGTGAAGCTGAAAACTTGAACTGTTAATTACATAATGATGATTAATTCATGCTAGATAATAGACTTGAAACTTGAATTGTTAATAGACAATGATTGCTAATCACATAATGATTACTTCATAGTAGGCTTTTCAAAATGAATAGATAATAGACTTCACATTTATCAAAAGTTCATCAAAGTCAAAATCAAGAGGTCCCACGCACTTGGCAGGTAGACACCATGATCATGATTCATTGCCGGCTTATGTCTTCTTTTTTTTTTAAACTGTCAATGAATCGTGAACGCAGTTATGACGTCATAGTGTCGACGTCATAGTGTCAACTGTCACTTTACCTGATGACGGGATCTGTAATGATCCTGAAACGTTGTGTGGGTAAGAATAAATCTTAACTTAAATCCATAAAATAACAACTTCTAAATGCCGCTAAAAGACGTCATAACCTTTTAAGTCAGTGATAATTACACTCTTGAGTGTTGTTTTGTAACATCAAGTGGTAGGCTATAAACCAACAGTTGTGTTCCAGTTCCTATGAGGCTTGTCAATTCAGACCATCTTTGGAATATCAACTTGCACAATAAGATTAATATGTTAAATTTGAAATAGTTATTGAGAACACAATATTTCCAAATGGCTGTAGTTCATCCCTCATGGCATGACTGTTTGCAGGTGGGCATATTTTGGGAAAGACAAACTGTGAGCACCTGTGTTTGAGTGGAGGAAGTTTCACCTGCGACAATGGTCCTGTGACGAACCCCCATGATGAGACAAGGAATACTGGGGGATCCAGCTCTGGTAGTGGAGCCCTGGTAAGTACAGTGGATCTAGGGGAGTACAATAGAGTATAGGTTAGTACAGTGGATCTAGGTGAGTACAATAGAGTATAGGTGAGTACAGTGGATCTAGGTGAGTACAATAGAGTATAGGTGAGTACAGTGGATCTAGGAGAGTACAATAGAGTATAGGTGAGTACAGTGGATCTAGGCGAGTACAATAGAGTATAGGTGAGTACAGGGATGGATCTAGTACAATGAGATAGGTGAGTACAGTGGATCAAAGCACAATGGTATAGGTGAGTACAGTGGATCTAGGAGAACCCTGTACACATGGAGTATAGGTGAGTACAGCTGAAGTCATGGTGAGTACAGGTGAGTATAGTGATATACAGGTGAGTACAGGAGAACCCTGTCATTACAGTGGAGCCTTGGTGAATGCGCTGAAGTCATGGTGAGTACAGGTGAGTATAGTGATATACAGGTGAGTACAGGAGAACCCTGTCATTACAGTGGAGCCTTGGTGAATGCGCTGAAGTCATGGTGAGTATAGTGATATACAGGTGAGTACAGAAGAACCCTGTCATTACAGTGGAGCCTTGGTGAATGCGCTGAAGTCATGGTGAGTACAGGTGAGTATAGTGATATACAGGTGAGTACAGGAGAACCCTGTCATTACAGTGGAGCCTTGGTGAATGCGCTGAAGTCATGGTGAGTACAGGTGAGTATAGTGATATACAGGTGAGTACAGAAGAACCCTGTCATTACAGTGGAGCCTTGGTGAATGCGCTGAAGTCATGGTGAGTACAGGTGAGTATAGTGATATACAGGTGAGTACAGAAGAACCCTGTCATTACAGTGGAGCCTTGGTGAATGCGCTGAAGTCATGGTGAGTACAGGTGAGTATAGTGATATACAGGTGAGTATAGTGATATACAGCTGAGTATCGTGATTGATATACAGGTGAGTATAATGATATACAGGTAAGTACAGGTGAGTATAGTGATATACAGGTGAGTATAGTGATATACAGGTGAGTATAGTGATTTACAGGTGAGTATCATGATTGATATACAGGTGAGTATAGTGATATACAGGTAAGTACAGGTGAGTATAGTGATATACAGTTGAGTACAGTGTAGTACAAGTGAGGACAGGTGGGGACAGTGAGCTACATGCAAGAACAATAAGGAACAGTTCATAATTTATGGCTGGGGGGTGGGTGGGGTGATGATGATTTTCATGGATTAGCATGTACAATGTGAATGATACCCCTAAAATTCATGTACAAAGTAAGTGCTCCTCTCTCCCACTTGCATGTCATGTACAATACAAAACCAATGACCCCACCCTTCCCATCATTTTTAGACATAATTTTAAAATATTATTATGTACAAAAATTGCTGACCCCCTCTAGTACATGTGTAACCTTGGCTTTGCATGTGTTTCTGATGGGTGTAACTGGTGGGACAGGATAGTCTCACATTTCCATGAAAACCTGCTTTCATACGAGTTACATCATGGTTCATAAATACATGCTTATTACCTTGAATCACCTGCTTTCATACGAGTTACATCATGGTTCATAAATACATGCTTATTACCTTGAATCATACTGTGGACAGCGCTTTTAGTAGAGATTTCTTCATCGTTTTTTTATTGATTTAAATCACACTTGCTATGAGTGATTTCAGTTACCTCTCGTTGACTTTGTCCAATGTATGTATTTCCAGGTTGCTTCAGGTGACCTTGACATGGCTCTCGGGGGAGACCAGGGAGGGTCCATTCGTATTCCCGCTTGCTGGTGTGGCATTGTGGGATTGAAACCGACACATGGACTGGTTCCGTACACTGGTGCAATGCCCATCGAAATCACCGTGGACCATCTGGGACCCATGACGAAAACTGTGTTTGACTGTGCCCTGATGCTGGAGGTGAGTGTTAGTGTCAGCAGAGATCCCAACCCATATGATGTGGATACTTACTACTGATTTAGGTACAATGTTAATAACAAGTTCTTAGATTTTTATATATATTTTATATATATTTGTATTGAATATGAAAATCCTTTGGAAAAGTTCATACTAATTTTGGCCAAAAAATACTAATTTTTGTATCAGTTTTTGGCCAAAATACTAACTGGGCTAAATTAGGGTTGGCATCTCTGTGTCAGACTCAAACAGTGTCTGAGTGTGCTGTGATGCAAGTTATGAGTCTTTTCCTTGTACAGAACTAATGTTTGACTGTGCCCTGATGCTGGAGGTGAGTCTTAGTGTCCGACTCAAACAGTGTCTGAGTGTGCTGTGATGCAAGATGTGAGTCTTTTCCTTGTACAGAACTAATGTTTGACTGTGCCCTGATGCTGGAGGTGAGTCTTAGTGTCCGACTCAAACAGTGTCTGAGTGTGCTGTGGTGCAAGATGGGAGTCTTTTCCTTGTACAGAACTAATGTTTGACTGTGCCCTGATGCTGGAGGTGAGTCTTAGTGTCCGACTCAAACAGTGTCTGAGTGTGCTGTGATGCAAGATGTGAGTCTTTTCCTTGTACAGAACTAATGTTTGACTGTGCCCTGATGCTGGAGGTGAGCCTTAGTGTCCGACTCAAACAGTGTCTGAGTGTGCTGTGATGCAAGATGTGAGTCTTTTCCTTGTACAGAACCAATGTTTGACTGTGCCCTGATGCTGGAGGTGAGTCTTAGTGTCCGACTCAAACAGTGTCTGAGTGTGCTGTGATGCAAGATGTGAGTCTTTCCTTGTACAGAACTAATGTTTGACTGTGCCCTGATGCTGGAGGTGAGTCTTAGTGTCGGACTCAAACAGTGTCTGAGTGTGCTGTGATGCAAGATGTGAGTCTTTTCCTTGTATAGAACTAACTAATGTTTGACTGTGCCCTGATGCTGGAGGTGAGCCTTAGTGTCCGACTCAAACAGTGTCTGAGTGTGCTGTGATGCAAGATGTGAGTCTTTCCCTTGTACAGAACTAACGTTTGACTGTGCCCTGATGCTGGAGGTGAGCCTTAGTGTCAGACTCAAACAGTGTCTGAGTGTGCTGTGATGCAAGATGTGAGTCTTTTCCTTGTACAGAACTAATGTTTGACTGTGCCCTGATGCTGGAGGTGAGTCTTAGTGTCCCGACTCAAACAGTGTCTGAGTGTGCTGTGGTGCAAGATGAGTCTTTCCCTTGTACAGAACTGGAGTGCCCTGATGCTGGAGGTGAGTCTTAGTGTACCGACTCAAACAGTGTCTGGGGTGTGTGCTGTGATGCAAGATGTGAGTCTTTTCCGCTTGTACAGAACTAATGTTTGACTGTGCCCTGATGCTGGAGGTGAGTCTTGAGGTGTCCGACTCAAACAGTGTCTGAGGTTGCTGTGGTGCAAGATGTGAGTCTTTCCTTGTACAGAACTAATGTTTGACTGTGCCTGATGCTGGAGGTGAGTCTTAGTGTCAGACTCAAACAGTGTCTGAGTGTGCTGTGATGCAAGATGTGAGTCTTTTCCTTGTACAGAACTAATGTTTGACTGTGCCCTGATGCTGGAGGTGAGTCTAAGTGTTAGGCTCAAACAGTGTCTGAGTGTGCTGTGATGCAAGATGTGAGTCTTTCCTTGTACAGAACTAATGTTTGACTGTGCCCTGATGCTGGAGGTGAGTCTTAGTGTTAGGCTCAAACAGTGTCTGAGTGTGCTGTGATGCAAGATGTGAGTCTTTTCCTTGTACAGAACTAATGTTTGACTGTGCCCTGATGCTGGAGGTGAGTCTTAGTGTCGGGCTCAAACAGTGTCTGAGTGTGCTGTGATGCAAGATGTGAGTATTTTTCTCATGCAAAAACAGTGCCTGATTTCGGCCAGTTTCTGGATGTGAGTGTTTGCCTCAAACAGTGTCCAACTGTGCCCTGATGATAGATATAAGCCTTTGTCTCAAACCAAAATTGTGTCTGATTTTGCTTTACACTAGATACTAGACCTCATATCCCGGAGCCTTAATGCTGTAAGTGTTCCTCCGACTCAAATCCAAACCTCACCAAGGTGGAACTATGGTAGCTAGGGTCGATGAGTTTCGATGGCTGGCCCAGAAGAGATCTCCATCAGCCATCGGTGTGCCTGTAGTTATTTCATGATATATCTAGAATACTGCAGGTGTTGGCATCAATCCACCGATTTCCTGTCATGTGTTACAGGTACTGGCTGGGTATGACGATGGCCGTGATCCAAGACAGCTACCCCACATCACCATTCCAGAGTACACAAAGGAGGTGAGTGAGTGACTTTAGTTTTCACTTTAGGTTTACTCCGCACTCAGCAATATTCCAGCTATATGGCGGCGGTCTGTAAATAATTGAGTCTGGACCAGACAATCCAGTGATCAACAGCATGAGCATCGATCTGCACAATTGGGAACCGATGACATGTGTCAACCAAGTCAGCGAGCCTGACCACCCGATCCCGTTAGTCGCCTCTTACGACAAGCATGGGCGTCTTTTGTGGCAAGCATGGGTTGCTGAAGACCTATTCCACCCCGGATCTTCACGGGTAGGCTACCGATGTAGATCATAGACATCTATAATCATTAACTAAATATCGACTGATTATCGATAAATATCACAGAAGAGACTTTGAGCAAATGTGTGAAAAAGGACAGATAGAAATCAATATTTTATGCCATTTGTGAGTAATGACACATTATTCATGGCTTCATTACTGAATTTCAGTCGTCCATCCATATGTATCCATTTACAGCTGTTTTGCCCTCGACACAGTGGAATCCATTCCTAAGGACAGTCAAACCTGACTCGTGAGGATACAGGTTAGCCTTGGTCTTCAGTAACCCGTGCTTGTCGTAAGAGGCGCCTAACGGGATCGGGGGTTCAGGCTCGCTGACTTGGTTGACACATCATTGATGCTAATGTTGTTGATCAGTGGATTGTGTGGTCCAGACTCAATATTTTCAGATTGCCGCCATATAGCTGGAATATTGCTGAGTGCAGCGTTAAACAACAAGCAAACAAACGTCTTTGAGTGGCTTTTAGAAGTTGGTGTGATGAACAACGAGGAGAGTTATATGGATATACAACTTCTTTATTATTGATATGAGCGAGATTTCGGTGTAGAAAGTGATGACTTGCTTCATAATGGTGTCATATTAATAATAAATAAGTTGTATATCCAAAGAACTCTCCCCTTTGTTCATGAAAGTTCATGAGAAACAAGTCAGTTTTGAACAGGGCACTGGTTAAATGTCCATATTTTTGTCTGTGTTGAATACCAGTCTCCTGCCTGCAATGAATTTTCATTCTGACATAAAAATATACCATAAATCATGTAGCTTTGATATACTTCATTGCTGCATTAAACAACAAACAAAACAGTGAAACCTTTGCATTGATGTGTTGTGTTAACCAACAAAACCAGTGTTCTGAACATAAATTAGAAGCAGACCATAATTAAGAATGGCACAACTATGTGTAGTGAAATGAAACTCCATTTCATCATAAAAATGTATATAAAATATTATTGACAACATGATTTTCATATTGAAATTGTTAATAACGATATTTCTGATTAATGATCCTTTCAGCCAGCTCTACACAGCACAAACAGTTGACACAGTGTATGCTGGTAAATATCAGAAGAATGTGCTGAAGTCAGTGCTATACACCTACAGAGAAATCATGGCAATTTTGTTTTGAGTTCCATCAGAAATGTGTCTATCATTCTTTTAGCTTGAATCTGGCATCTCCGGCAAGAAGATCGGGGTGTTGAAGGAAGGGTTCGATGTGTGTACGGAGAAAGACGTGGCGGAGATAGTGAGGAGAGAAGTGGAGAGACTGAAGGAAGCAGGGGCAGTGGTGGAAGAAGTATCCCTACCCATGCATCTGGATGGTAGGAGGAAAGTTTCCTACTTTTGAGTTTGTTGGGTTGAGTGAGTCAGTTAGTTTTACACCGCTTTTAGCAACACTCCAGCAGTATCACTGCCATGGACACCAGAAATAGGTTTCACACATTGTGCCCTTGTGGATCTGAACCCTGGTCTTTGGTGTGATGAGTGAACACTTTAACCACTAGGCTACCTCGCTGCCCCTGTTGGGTTTAGTGCTACAGTGTACTAGTGTACTTACAACAATATGGAGCTATGTCGTAGCATCTGTGTGATGCAGGTTGTTGACCTTCACCTTCATGTTCATACCCGTGAAGATCCGTGTTAGAATTGGTCTTCAGTAACCCATGCATGTAGCAAGAGGCCACTAATGTGATCTGGTGGTCAGGCTCGCTGACTTGGTTGATACATGTCATCGTATCCCATTTGCGTAAATCGATGCTCATGCTGTTGATCACTGGTTGATGTCTGGTCCAGACTCGAATATTTACAGATCGTCGGCATATAACTGGAATATTGCTGAGTGCGGCGTTAAACAACAAACCAACCATGCTAGAGTTTTTGATATGTTATTTTCGGGATCACACTTTCTCAGAAAAGTGGGGTGGTGGGGTAGTCTAGTGGTTAGTTTGCTCGTCACACCAAGAACCCAGGTTTGATTCCCCACATGGGTACAAAAGTGGTGTAAAACTAAACTCACTCCATAAAAATGGAGGGTGACAGATGGCAGTCTAGAGATGTGACGAGTGAAAATTGTCACGGCTCTTAAGTTCTAACAAAATATTTGTGATGTTATACATGTCGCAGAACAATTTGTATCCCAGTGCAGTACCTACATTTCATGAGTCCATATTTTCCCCTCCTAAGTTGGTTCAAAACACTAAATTGTTTGTTTGGAAATATCAGAGACTGAAGAATATGTAACACATATTCGTATAGACTACACTGTGAATATAAGCTGGTTGTTGAACAGTTTTGTTCAGTATGTTTCATGATACAGCCTGGGCCTCCTATCAGGTCACAGTACTGTATGACCATATTGATGCACCACTAGAACATTAATACATGATGAGATTCCAGGATATGGCCATTAAGCCATGGAATTCAACGCCTGACTGAAAGATGAGATACTATTTGCATAGTGACTTAATTTGATATTCCAGGTCACTTGGAATGGATTTCTGATGTGGTGTCTGGCATATTTAATACAATTTTATTCCAATTGTACTAACTGACTTCAAGGTATGCTTTCACTGACGTCAGAATCACTGACAATGACGATATATACCTTGATGCCAGATTTTTTTGCGTTACTAGCCCTTGTACTACAGATATTGTTTACACTTTTTCTTTGGACCAGTTAAAAGTTGGCCTCAGTGAAACTGCCCTTATTAAAATATCTATGGCTGTTAATCAATGAAGTTTAAATTCTGACCTTGATTTCACTTGATCACTGGATTGTCTGGTCCAGACTTGATTATTTCAAGATCCTTGCCATATCGCTGAGTGCACCAGTAAGCAAACAGAAAACAAACAGATATAGAAACAAACAAACAAACTAATAAATCCTATTTTCAATATTGCCTCTACATTATCCATAGTGAAAACAACATCTAAAGCCATTATTTAGTCATCTCCGTAAAAAATGTAATGAAACTTGGTAAAGGTGTTGTAGAAAGAAATGTTTAGTCACATTTAAAATTTTGACCTTTTTTGTACCTGGGCCGTACTGAAAGCCGAAACTTGTTATTAGTAGATGGGCCGACCCTATATGCCAGGAATATTTTTCAGTTGAACAATTTTGACCATTGCACTTATATTCACTCAAGGGGCGGTCGGGTAGCCTAGTGGTTAAAGCGTTGACTCGTCACGCTAAAGACCCGGGTTCGATTCCCCACATGGGTACAATATGTGAAACCCATTTCTGGTGTCACCCGCCATGATATTGCTGGAATATTGCTAAAAGCGGCGTAAAACCATACTCATTCACTCACTATATTCACTCAAAGTAAATTTTCTTTTGATTGTCCAAAGAAATTGCCAAACAGAGGTGCTGAACTTTCTATAGCTGCTATCATATTGTATTCTTTTAATTTGTGTAGAGTTTGTGTCCTGAGTGTCACATGTTTTCATTGAAATTTGAATTGTTTGGGTCCCGAAATTTTACAACGATATTATGATCATTAAAACATTGTCTAATTCGGCACCTGTCTATTCAGTATTCCGGCACAACTTTCCGGTCCCAAAAAGCAATTTTAACTGTAATTAACACTGTCTAAACCAGCATGGGTATGAGCAGTCCAATCAAGGACTCTTAATCCAAAACACTAATTAATCCACTTGGCACGCTAGATATTCAGGCAGTAGTGATTGCGCGGTGAATCAAACGCTCTAAGCCGACATGGGTATGAGCAGTCCAGTCAAGATCCCTTAATTCAATACACTCCTCTCGTCATGCTAGATTATAGAGATAAAGAGATTGATGAGTGTAAATGGCAGCTATGCTGGAAAATCATCATCACTGTCTAATTCGGCACCCTGTCTAAACCAGCATTTTATTTCGGTCCCGTGGGGTGCCGGTTTAGACAGGTTTCGCTGTCCTAGTCCTACGGATATCATGAAAAATACAAGTTTTGTTTTTATGTTGAGTACCAGATTCTGAAGTGATGTTTTTCACAAAGATATGTAACCTGTGAAGATCCGAGAATTGGTCTTCAGCAACCCATGCTTGTCGTAAGTGGCGACTAACGGGATCGGGTGGTCAGGCTCGCTGACTTAGTTGACCCATATCATTGTATCCCAATTGCGTAGATCAATGCTCATGCTCTTGATCATTGGAGTGCCTGGTCTAGACTTGATTATTTACAAACTGCTGCCATATAGCTGATATATTGCTGAGTGCGGCGTTATTCAATAATAATAACAAACATGGATACATGAGAATAGTCTACAGTGCTGATTGTTTACCTTCCAGGACCTGCTATCTGGAACGCTGTCATCCTACAGGGAACCTACAACTGTATGATCAAAGGAAACGGTGAGTTAAAGCAAAACACAGTCCACTCGTGGGCGATCACATGTCTTGAACATTTCATTGATAGTCACTTAAACCAGACAAACAGGTGGTGTTATTTCAGAGATTCATCAGTTTGTTATTCTTAGACTGTGACTGACTGAGTTTAGTTTTTCGCCGCTTTTAGCAATATTCCAGCAACATCACGGAGGGGACACCAGAAATGGGCTTCATCTGTGGGGATTCAACCGGGTCTTCGGGCGTGTTCAACCACTAGGCTACCCACAGCCCTCTTAGCTGTGAACCAGAACTGAGTCGCAGTTTGATCTTCTGGAGATACCAAAACTATCGAAGGTCATTTGGCTACCTCTCTGACATTCAGCTATGCTGCTCCTTCTGTCCAGAACTCAATTCCCCATGATGTCAACTCTCACCAACCCTAGACAACTTTAAATCTCATTTAAAGACATTTCTTTTTCAAAAATATTGAACTTCTAGATTTCCGTGTTCCTACTCATTTTAAATACTGTGTATATACTCGTCACAGCACTTTGAGCAGACACTTAGTGCCTGGAGTATTTTATCACTTTATAAATTCACTCATTATCATTTGGTTATTATTCCTTGCATTGCCACAAAGAATTGTTAGGAGCTTGTATCAGTTATCTTTCTTTATATAGTAAGAAACCTCGAACGGGATCAGATTTAACTGGTCAGGTTTCATGTCTTGGTTCATGCATGTGATCATACTGGATTTATGCTCATGACATCAATCACTGGTTCGTCTGGTCCAGACTATTGTTTGCAGACCACCATGTTATTGATTAATAAGTTTGAGTACAGCATTAAAAAACAAACAAACAAGACGAAATACTTTCATGGTCACTGGATTTTCTGGTCCAGATTTAATGTTTTAAAGGCTGCCATGATATACCTGAAATATTTTTTAATGTGGCATTAGACAACAAACAAACAAACATAAACAAAAATACTTTCACATAATGTCAGTCACTGGATTGTCTGGTCCAGACTGGATTGTTCACAGAGCTCCTTCATAGTTGAAATGTTGTTCAGTGGGCCACACATCAAATTTTTTCAGGTAACGGATTCTTCTATAAAGGTTTCTACGGCGTTTCTCTCCAAGAGGCTGTGTCGAGAGGCCTATACACTAGACCCCAAGACATGTCTGGAATTCTCAAGTCCTTCTGTCTCATGGCTGAGTACATGGACAGAAACTATGAAAACAAGTTCTATGCCCAGGGCCAGAACCTCACCATGACACTAACCAGAGCCTACGACAGTGTTCTGGCGAAGTATGATGTTCTGGTGATGCCGACACTTACGCACAAGGCACCAAAGATTCCGTCCGCTGATGCTACACTGAAGGGTTAGTGAGGTTTTCACAATGTTGAAGTTTAAAAGTTTATGTGTTTCAAGACGAAGGCGTGAAAGTGTAGTGATCCTAAACTCAGTTTTTGAATAATAAATGTAATCGTTAACCTGTGGCCAGGTGAACCAGGTGTTTGTTCAATGTCCGTTAAATAAAGCATATTTTATGAAATATATCATATATGAAATATATCATCATGATTGTATATGTATCTCAATATGATTTTGAATCAATTATTTAGATCATTTATTACAGATTCAATTAATTAATTTGATGATGATGTTGAAAATATTAGGGCAATTTCAGCATGAAAATATCAAGATACTATTCCTAATTTTTGCCTGGAATTCATTCTGAATAACCATATAACTGTACAAGAAGTCTACACTCGTGAAATATTCTATTTACTTGTCTTCATAAAATTGCAACACGTGAAGATACGGGTTAGAACTGGTCTTCTGCAACCCATGCTTGGCGTAAGAGGCCAATAATGGGATCGGGTGCACGCTGACTTGGTTGACACATGTCATCGTATTCCAGTTATGTCAAACAACAAACAAAGCTAATTATAACCAACTGTGATCATTCTTTGGTACTGACATTTACTCTTACACTTAAACAAGCAGCATATGACCAAGTATTTCTTGGCTTTCAGTGCAGCTAGATGTCGGAATCGGAATGCTCGCCAACACCAGTCCCTTCAACAGCACCGGACATCCTGCACTATCCATCAACGCTGGCTTCAGCGAGGGGCTTCCTGTTGGGATGATGATTGTTGGCCGGCACTATGAGAGACAAGCATCCTCCAGGTTGCCCATGCCTACGAGAAAATTCGGGATGCAAAATGAGGTCTTGACCTTGAAAAATGAGAATAGACCATGAAAGAGCAGCTCAACTGGTATATTGATCAAAGCTCATCTGTTTTCTGAATGTCAATAATTTCAACCAAAACATTTTATGTGGATGACTGAGCAGGTTCAGTGCTATTTAACCAGACCTATTGAAAATCATACTCCATGATCAGGGGCAGCGTGGTAGCCTAGTGTTTAAGCGTTCACTTGTCATGCTGAGGACCCAGGTTCGATTCCCCACATGGGTTTAATATGTGAAGCCCATTTCTGGTGTCCCCTACCATGATATTGCTGGAATATTGCTAAAAGCAGCGTAAAACTAAACTCACTCACTACTCCACTATCAACTGAAAATAATGCCAAAAGGTCATTGAGCTAGTGGCATAGGTGTAGATTGCAGACGTAAGGATTGCCTCGTTTCTCCCATTTTCATTTAATCAGATCTTGCGGCTAAACAAAGATGGGAGGATAATACCTAGTCACGTCAGTACAACCTTGGTCTGACCAAGAGAACTACTTTCAATCCCAGTCAGTTATTTGTTTTGTTTAGTTTCTAAATTTTTAAAGAAAATCTTTGACAAAATATGTTTTCAAGGCATTGTCTGGAATTGAAGTTGCTACTTCTTACTGGCTAAGCTTATCGTAAGAAGCGACTAAAGGGATCTGGTAGTCAGGCTCACTCATGTGGTGGACACATTGTGTAGATCGATGCTCTTGATGTTGATCGCTGTATTGTATTGTAGACCACTGCCATATAACTGGAATACTGCTGAGTGCAGTGTTAAACAACAAACAAACCAATCGAATTTGCCAATGTTGACTTCTACTTCATCTTGTGATTTCATTGGTTGGTTAAAGTTCGCAATAGTTGTTCCAGCATGACCTGCAATGTGTTGCCCTCAGATCTGTTTGGTGTGGTTAGCAGCTGGCTTAATTCTTGATGTTTTAATCCATTTTCCAATATGCCTGACATTGCAAGGAAGCATGCCCAGGATCTGTTCATTGTTCATCTGCATACAATGAACTGATAAAAACAACAGATTAGAGCACTCCAGCTGTCATTGCTAATTAATCTTATCAGCATGTATATTGTGTTTCTGCCTCAAGGACCATTGGCTTCCTCCTACTGTCACCACATTATTACCACCACCCCTTGTTGTTATTAATCCCCTTGATCCATACCTACATGTTGTTATTACTTAATCCCTGTTAATGTATATAAGTCTGTTCTGTGCTGTAGTACTTCACTCTTGCTTGACAACGGTATAAGAATCCATACTGAAACGTCGCATCATAAATAATAAAGAACTTGTTATCCATAAAGAATCTTAATTTCTTAATACTGTTCATTGGAGGTCAAATTTTCACCTTAAATTTGAAGATTATAGTTTCTCTCTGAACTGGAGGGGCGGTGGGTAGCCCAACGGTTAAAGCATTCGCTCATCACACAGAAGACCCTGGTTTGATTCCCCACATGGGTACAGTGTGTGAAGCCCATTTCTGGTGTCCCTGCTGTATATTGCTGGAATATTGCTAAAAGCGGCGTAAAACCATACTCACTCACTCTAGCTGGATGGAGGTTCTTGGTCTGGGCAAAATCCTTCATACCGTTATTCAGCTCGTGATTGCTTGGCATTCTCTTAAACTGCAGTGTTATGTATTTTATTATTCATTTGTTATCGGCAGTTAGTGATTCATATTTAATCAGGTATCAGTCCAATTTGTGATCTGTGATTTTAAAGGCTAACTTTTGTTTTCTTATAGAATTCTGTTAGTTTATATTAAATGTGATTTTATACATGACTCCCTTACCTTCGTGCACAAATGATTAAGTATCAACTTTCATATCTGATGTTTATCTATGCCTTTATAAATTGATAAACATTATTGAAAAATAACATTGTTCTCCTTGTTAATTTGTTATGATTGTGATTTCATGTGATTGTGAAATGTGTTGTCAATTTTTGTTCATTCATAACAGATACATTTTAATACAGTGAGTGAGTGAGTTCAGATTTGATACCTGTGAGGGTCCAGGTTAGAATATCAATCTTCAGTAACCCATGCTTGTCGTAAGAGGCGACTAACGGGATCGTGTGGACAGACTCGCTGACTTGGTTGACACATGTCATCGGTTCCCAATGGGGCAGATTGATGCTCATGCTGTTGATCACTGGATAGACAATTGGTCCAGACTCAATTATTTACAGACCGCCGCCATAAAGCTGGAATATTGCTGAGTCCGGCGTGAAACTAAACTCACTCACTCATTCAGGTTCAGGTTTGAAGTATTTCAGCCATATCGTGACTTAAACAAGTAATAGATTCCCAGTACATAAAGTTAAACATAAAACCTGTCCACGAGAGTACATAACACAACGTATAGACAAGAGAAAAGGTGAGACAAGACAATATATTTCAGGAACAGATCACCAGCTCCTAATACACAATCATAGCATGAGAATTATGCGTGCTGCAGTTAAATAGACAATTTCATCCCTGAAAAAAGGCAAAAGTGTTCTTAGGCTACATTTGGAGACCCTACAATGAAATGAAATTAAGGACACATGTCACAATATAACCCAAAGTTGACTGGTTTTTTTCTAGGGGACCTATGGTCTGTATTTACTCCAGGAATGTGTATTTTGTCAGCGCTTAGAGCATGTCCCTCAGTGATGTGGATGAGGCGCTATACAAGTACTCATATTATCATTATTATTACTATTAATTCATTATTCAGGCTTCAAGAAAACACTAAATGAGTTAGTTTTGCCTTATATACAGTGTACTCCACATTAACTGGACATTTTCTCTAATTGGGCGGGCATTTTTGTCCCTGCACAATCCTTCATAATTCAGCTCTTGATAACTGGACACTCTCTCTAACTGGACGGGCATTTTTGTCCCTGCACAATCCTTCATAATTCAGCTCTTGATAACTGGACACTCTCTCTTAACTGGACGGGCATTTTTGTCCCTGCACAATCCTTCATAATTCAGCTCTTGATAACTGGACACTCTCTAACTGGACGGGCATTTTTGTCCCTGCACAATCCTTCATAATTCAGCTCTTGATAACTGGACACTCCTTCATAAATTATCATAATTCAACTTATCATTTCAACTCTTTATAACTGGACATTTGTTTAGCTGGACATTCTCTCTCACTGGACAGGTTTGTCTTCATAATTTATCATAATTGAACTCTATAACGGGACAGGTGTTTTGGTCCTCGCAAAACCTTTGTAATCTGTCATCAGTCACCCCCTGATAACTGGACATTGTTTAAGTGGACATTCTCTAATACATAAGTGTAGTATTGTGTATTTTATTAATCATTTTTATAGACACTTAGTGTTTCATATTTAATCAGTAGTCCAATCATTGATCTTACTTGACTTTCATCTCGACATTGAATCTGCATTTATGTAAATGATGTAACAACCTACATATATAATGTTTATATAAATTGATAAAACATTGTGAAAAAAATATTGTTCTCTTTATTAATTCACCTGGGGTATACAAAAGGTTTGAAATATAGTTTGTCTGCATTGTGATTGAACTATTGTGTTTTAAGGCAGGAAGAATGGCTAATGACATTAGTAACCGACTGGGAGATTTCAGAAGAAGCCGAAAAGCAATTTGTGCCTCTCTTGAAGGATTTCATATTGGCGTATGAATGCTAGAACTATTTTAAACAAGAATGATAACTTCATTTCAGTTTTATTCCAGTTGTAATAAACATTACACAAACAATCTCACAAAGTTGTTTTATAAAGAATTCAACCTCTTTAGTACAACACTACTGCTAATGATAATATTAAGACTTTGTATCAATCATGTTTCAGCATACTTATTTTCAGCAGCACATCACAAATCTTATTTGTGAAAGTGAGTGAGTGAGTTAATATTTAGCGTCACATCTGCAATATTTCAGCCATATCGTGACGAGCAGAACAAGTTAATTTATATCAATATTAAAATCAATAAATTTAGAACATAAAAACCTTTCATCGAAGGACAGTAAAAATACTAGAGCATCACAGATATAAATTTAAAACAAGCATTGTCACTAAGGTGACATAATCCCCCGCCGCAAATTATCAAACCTTACTTTTACTGTGATGAACCTAGGTACCAAATATGAAAAGAATTCAGTCAACGGTTCTTAAGATATTCCAATTAAATGTTGACGGATGATACTATATCCCCGCTTGGGGATAACTAGTACGCTATCATAAAATTAAATCAGTATAGACCGTACAAAATAAGAATGGGCTATAGATCACCAACAACTGAAGTATTTGTGAAAACGGTTGTAAAGTACACACAGAGCAATATATATGTAATGTGTTGGTGTTCTCTAATTAACTTGTTCAAACATATCAGAATTGCAAGTATGATTTTGTTGAACTGAATAGGCAATCTCATTGATTTTGTTTGGTGTAATAAATCCAAATTTACAGTTACACATTTGTCAATACAACAACAATTTTTATGTGTCTAGTTTGGTTATGCAAGCCTTTTAGATTTATTGCATTTATCATAACAAGGTACAGTATGGATTTACAAATGTTTATTATGTACAACACCTGGTTTCGGGGCTACTTCTTGCCCCTTCATCAGATGAATGACAATATGACTTACAAGCAAAATATATGGTGCGTACAGGAGATGGAATTAAAGATTGAGATGTACATTACAATGAGGTTGTTATGTTATTTGCTGAACAATGTAGACATGGCAGCTCATTGTGTAAGTCCACTACTTGTGCCTTCCAAGACAAATAGAGGCTGACTTGGTATGCATAACTCACCAACAGGATTGGGTGATGAGGCTGACTTGGTATGCATAAGTCTACACAGACATATGCTTCATATCAATTGTCCATCTTGAGGACACAGGAATGTCTACACTTGAGACAGGGCGACATCGTGAGGACAGGGCAGGGGCATCTTGAGGACAGAGGCGACATCGCGGGTGACATCATGAGGACATCTTGAGGACAGGCTTACATCATGAGGACAGGGGGCGACATCATCAGGGGCATCTTGAGGACAGAGGCGACATCGTGAGGACAGGGCGACATCATGAGGACAGGGGCATCTTGAGGACAGGGCTGATGTGAGGCAGGGGCGACATCATGAGGACATCGGACAGAGGACAGGGCGACATCTTGAGGACAGGGGATCTTGAGGACAGAGGCGACATCATGAGGACAGGACATCATGGGACAGGGGCATGAGGACATCGCGAGGACAGGGGACATCATGACATCATCTGAGGACAGTGAGGACAGACATCGTGAGGACAGGGTCTTGACATCGCGTGGGACAGGGCGACATCGGGCGACATCGGAGGACAGGGTGACATCATGAGCACAGTGGGCAGGGCTGACTTGCGACATCATGACATCTTGATTAACCGTGACAAATCATGAGGACAGGGCGAAGCTGGCTCTTGGGGACAGAGGCGACATCGTGAGGACGTCTTGACTGTCATTCATTAACAAAAACCTGCCAGCTGGCTCTTGAACGTCCTTGTCGTGGCAAACCTGCATCAGAGAAAAGGAACCATCTAGAAACGGGAAAAGGAATCGCATTAACATTACACCGCTGGTAGGATCGAAGTAGCAATGGAAAGACAACAAGTTATAACATGTTTCGAAGATCATGTGATAACATAAAATGTCCCCATCTTGTCTTCTCAGGGCATTTTATACTGAATGTTGTATCATAACAGCTTGAAGACATGACTGCACTACATTAAACACAGATTCCCTGCTCCTGATTCATCATCTAGAACAGCTAGAACACGAACAGTGAGTGAGTCATTATGGCGTTATGCCGCTTTTAGTAATATTCCAGCAATATCATGGCAAGGGACACCAGAAATGGGCTTCACGCATTGTACCCATGCTCGGAATCGAAATCGGGTCTTCAGGGTGACGAGGGAATACTTTAACCACTAGGATTCCCCCGCAGCCCCTATAACAGGGAAAAGATGAAAGTGTAGTCAATCATTCAGTAGAGGTTGAAGAAGAGCTATCTATGGTGTAACAACTGAATTAAGTAGAGCAGAAAGTTGAGGACGACATGTCTCTACTGGAACAGTTGGGAGAGGTCGAAGAGGACCTTGATTTGGGCAGCCATGTGGATGATGTAGACTGACAGGCAGAACAGCAAGGGGAAGGAGCTGTTCCATCCTATTTATCAGGCATTTTAACTCTGACTGGAGATTGGAAGAATAACCTCAGGCGCTTTGAGAACAGTTTGATAATATCATACAAGAATTGAGAGTTTATGTCAATGGTTAAGATAATGACAGGATAGGGCATGCCTCACACCATCCGGGATTAAATTCGTCGTTTGAAAAGTTTGTGTAACGAGGATATCATGTCCATGGTAGAAAAAGTACACCAAAGCAACGACAATGCCAGGATTGATGCTGCCATGGGCACTGAGTTCCTCCATGTAGAGGATCCAGATCGCCTCAGTGAAGGGCGAGGACACCGCTCTAAACACAGTCCCAAGAACCTGGCTACTCTTCGGAACAGAAACCATGTATCGTTAGAATAAAGGAACGGGAAAAGAGAATCAGGACGATGCAGTAGCTGTTGGTCTTCATTATGCAAAGAAACCTGCTCCATTTCAATGGCTCAATCCCAATTGCAAAGCACGTGATACTATACGCAGTGCTTTGACAAGAACAAACAAGTCTGATGTTTAAAAAGAGGAGACAGTTAAGAAATCGAAACTGGACCATGCTCAGGGGAAGAAACATGGTCAGTGTTTAGTGAATATCTTGTACCGGAATATCAGCTAAAGGTATACTCACAAGATGTGTACAAGAAGCTTTTGAATAAGAGCGAAGTGGTAAACCCGTCGTCCAACCCTCCAAAGTCACTCATCACTGGTAAGTCCCTTAAAGCAGTTAGTCAGTACATGCATGTCCAGTGCACAGTAGCCCGAACTGTTGTTTAAAACACACAGGAACACCCAAAGAGGGGGAAGGTTTGCCCACACTCTAGACAACCCAGGGTGACGTCAGATCGTGAATAGAAACAAGGAAGAGGAAGATGGTTTCCTCCGAGAAGGGGAATCACATAACGTTACACCGCTGGTTCGAGCTTGTGTCAATCAAAAGTAGGATAGAAGAAGCAATGGAAAGACAGCCGGAAGTATTGAAATGTCATCTTGGAGGAAATGTGTATGCAGAAATGTATAGTACATACCCTGGATTGGACATACGCAAATGGTATTGGTGTGGAAAGCAGAACACAATGAAACCACATAAACGCCCAGGAATCAAGCGGAATGTTGTTCAGCTGAAGCAGCTATTAAACTAATTAATCGCCATGCCGGACTATGTGGCTGAACTTTCGAACATTCTGCCCTGCTATATGCAGCAGGATCACATGAACTAATATGGCTATTTTATGTGTCCAGAGTGTAACCCGAACTGTCTGTCCGCACGGGACCCAACTCATATGTAATTTGTACTTGTACAAATGGTATATTTTAATATGCTTTTACTTTACTAATTTACGTGTTTTGTTTGTTTGTCCTCTTTCTATAAAGGTGTTTATATGTAATCTCTACTTGTACAAAGTGTATATTTTAATATGCTTTTACTTTACTCTTTGGTGTGTTTTGTTTGTTTTTCCTCTTTCTATAAAGGTGTATATGTAATCTGTACTTGTACAAAGTGAGTATTTTAATATGCTTTTACTTTACTCCTTGGCGTGTTTTGTTTGTTTTTCTTCTTTATATAAAGGTGTACATATGTAATCTGTACTTGAACAAAGGGTATATTTTAATATGCTTTTACTTTACTTTTACTAATTTACGTGTTTTGTTTGTTTTTCCTCTTTCTAAAAAGGTTTTACGTGTTTTGTTTGCTTTTCTCCTTCTTATTTATTTTCTTATATAAAGGTGTATATATGTAATTTGTACTTGAACAGAGGGTATATTTTAAGATGCTTTTTACTTTACTCCTTGATATGTTTTATTTATTTTTCCTCTTTCTATAAAGGTGTATATATGTAACGAATGTTTAGCATTAGACGGTGTCTTCAGGATAAGGGGTTTAGCAAACATCACGTTGATTCTTCACCCAAAAGTACAAAGAATATACTCCAATATCATTGGTAACGTGTTTTTCATGACATTTTGCCTTGGGTAACTGTTTCATCCTTCTATGTTATTCTCCTTTTAAAACAGGTAATATTTATTTAGCCTCTATCTATCTAATTATATGTAAACACATTCCAGTAGGGCGTTATCATGGCCCTGTCTTTACATTCATTACAACTTGTACCATGTTTAAACTGTCAGGTAATATAGATATGCCAACATCTTGTTTAAACTTTAATGTCCGTATCTTTAACATGGAAGACATGTATATCTTGAGAAAGTAGAACCAAACAGGAAGAAGATGAACGTTTAGCCAGTCATTCAGTCGAGTCTGAAGAAGAGCTATTCGTGGTGCAACATTTGCATCAAGTACAGCATGGCTTCATCATCTTTAGAACGTAGAACAACAGCTAGAACAGGAAGAAGATGAACAGATGAACGTTTAGCCAGTAATTCAGTAGAGATTAAAGAAGAGCTATCAGTGGTGCAACATTTGCATCAAGTATGAAACAATGTATCGCGAGAATAAAGAACCAGAACGCTTAATTCTTTGCCCGAGCAGTAGCTGTCCGTCTTCATTACGCAAAGAAACCTGTTCCATTTCAACGGCTTGATGTTACA